CAAATTACCTGTAAGCTCAAGGATTCACCTGGAAACCTCCAGCAAACCAGAACATCTCCCACTCCCCACTTTCTCTCTTTATAAATATCTATTTTTTTAAGCTAATCCAATTACTTATTCTCAGTTGTACGCTACTCCCATTTCGGCTACAAAGCAGGCTCCTTTCCCATGAAAAAAAAAAAAACCAAAAAAAAAACCCAACTCTGCTTACTTCATAATTTATTTCACTGCATGACTTTTCCCAGCAATGCGACTCATTTTTTTTCTCAAGTTCCCTACAAACTGATGAAAATAAAAAGCCCCTCAGCTCGTGCACAGGCTCTCACGCACATCACTTTTTTGTGGCTTAATTTCCCATTTTTAAAAGGAAGATGTTTGCTTTCCTCCAACTTCTTTTTTTTGGGGGGGTGGAAAAGGCAGGGGGGGGGAAGTGAGCAATGGCCATGACTTCATCTTTAATACAGTTTCCAGCACAATAAAGGCCATCCTTTGTACTGTGACACGGAGGTGCTAACAGAGGGCAATAAATTCAGATTAAAAATTAACATCCGTATCATATCAAGCAATCTTGTTACTCTCATTTCAATTGCTTCAAAAAGCTGCCTACTTTTTTTTCTTTTGTCTCAAACACACAAAAAGGGTCGCTCAGCTATTAATTTTAGAAGCTGTTTTTGAGCGATGCATTGCAGAATAAAAAAAAAAACTGAAGTCATTTTGTATTCTGACTCCAATTCCTGAATTTACATATTGAATTACAAGTGTTACTCCCTTTCTCTTGGAGATTTGGGAACAGTACCTGGAGGTCTGTAGGAAGAGGCATATTGCTGAGGGGTTCTGGCCAAATTGGTCATTAAAACCACAGGTGCTGATGGAGATTGTACTTACTGGGCCTCTGTGGGTAAAACTCCTGGCTGAAAAAAAAAAAAAAAAAAAGGAGCCAGAAAAAAAAAAAAAGTGATATACAAATGCCCACGTTCATGGAAATAAAAAAAAAAAAGTGAAGTTCCCATCTGAACTGCAAAGGCTTAAGAGCAAAACACAAGTTAGTTACTGCTTTTGAGACCCCCTCGACCTGCAGATGGATGAGAAACAGGCACTGAAAGGAAGCAGGCAAATTTCTGATGTAAGCTGCACCAGCAAGAAGAACCTCTTTCATATTAACAGTGAATTACAAGTTGATTTTATGCCATTTTCCAACACCCCACCCCAAGAAAAAACAACAAGTACCCAAGCTCACTTACTCCTAAAAAAACCCTCACCAATCCAATACACAAAAGAAATCATGAAATCGGCACAGCCACGGTATGGCTCAAAAAATAATACACCTTTTATGCTTTTTATTACAGTCTTGATTCTTCAAGGTTCACATTTTCAAGCTTTTCCTCCAAAACCATGGGGGCTAAAAACTTTATTTCTAAAACCCGATAGCCAAGAGTCTCACCTAATTATATGAGCTGGGGCTTCAAGGGAAAGGGGGCCGGGGGGGAGGAGCAAAGGAACACAGACACCCAGAGATTTATGGCAAAAAAATGCAAACACTGGCAAAACACTCATTGTCCCAAACTTCTTGCTTTTTCCCTTCCCCACCCGCTCTGCGGAGGAGCAGATTTTTACCCCCCTCAAAAATGTGACAGGCTATAATCCTGTCTCGCTAGCTTTGATTTTTTCCCCTTTTAAAGAAGGAGCCTTTTAATGTTCTACAAGGGATGCTTCTCACCCTGGGCGCAAGCAATAAATTAAAATGATTATTTTAAAAAAAACCCTCCAGCTTCGCTGCCGGCTAGACATCATTTACAAGGAGGCAAACCAGCTGCATTGCCCCTCAAAGCCACCCCCCCCTTCCCAACCCAGGGCTTGGAAGCTACGGATGGGATTTTACAAGGCTACATCACAACATGCTCCTGTTCCCCCCATTGCTGATTTTTTAAATTAAAAGTGGAAAGAGGGAGAGAAAAGGGAGAGAAAAGGGAGAGAAAAGGGAGAGAAAAGGGAGAGAAAAGGGAGAGAAAAGGGAGAGAAAAGGGAGAGAAAAGGGAGAGAAAAGGGAGAGAAAAGGGAGAGAAAAGGGAGAGAAAAGGGAGAGAAAAGGGAGAGAAAAGGGAGAGAAAAGGGAGAGAAAAGGGAGAGAAAAGGGAGAGAAAAGGGAGAGAAAAGGGAGAGAAAAGGGAGAGAAAAGGGAGAGAAAAGGGAGAGAAAAGGGAGAGAAAAGGGAGAGAAAAGGGAGAGAAAAGGGAGAGAAAAGGGAGAGAAAAGGGAGAGAAAAGGGAGAGAAAAGGGAGAGAAAAGGGAGAGAAAAGGGAGAGAAAAGGGAGAGAAAAGGGAGAGAAAAGGGAGAGAAAAGGGAGAGAAAAGGGAGAGAAAAGGGAGAGAAAAGGGAGAGAAAAGGGAGAGAAAAGGGAGAGAAAAGGGAGAGAAAAGGGAGAGAAAAGGGAGAGAAAAGGGAGAGAAAAGGGAGAGAAAAGGGAGAGAAAAGGGAGAGAAAAGGGAGAGAAAAGGGAGAGAAAAGGGAGAGAAAAGGGAGAGAAAAGGGAGAGAAAAGGGAGAGAAAAGGGAGAGAAAAGGGAGAGAAAAGGGAGAGAAAAGGGAGAGAAAAGGGAGAGAAAAGGGAGAGAAAAGGGAGAGAAAAGGGAGAGAAAAGGGAGAGAAAAGGGAGAGAAAAGGGAGAGAAAAGGGAGAGAAAAGGGAGAGAAAAGGGAGAGAAAAGGGAGAGAAAAGGGAGAGAAAAGGGAGAGAAAAGGGAGAGAAAAGGGAGAGAAAAGGGAGAGAAAAGGGAGAGAAAAGGGAGAGAAAAGGGAGAGAAAAGGGAGAGAAAAGGGAGAGAAAAGGGAGAGAAAAGGGAGAGAAAAGGGAGAGAAAAGGGAGAGAAAAGGGAGAGAAAAGGGAGAGAAAAGGGAGAGAAAAGGGAGAGAAAAGGGAGAGAAAAGGGAGAGAAAAGGGAGAGAAAAGGGAGAGAAAAGGGAGAGAAAAGGGAGAGAAAAGGGAGAGAAAAGGGAGAGAAAAGGGAGAGAAAAGGGAGAGAAAAGGGAGAGAAAAGGGAGAGAAAAGGGAGAGAAAAGGGAGAGAAAAGGGAGAGAAAAGGGAGAGAAAAGGGAGAGAAAAGGGAGAGAAAAGGGAGAGAAAAGGGAGAGAAAAGGGAGAGAAAAGGGAGAGAAAAGGGAGAGAAAAGGGAGAGAAAAGGGAGAGAAAAGGGAGAGAAAAGGGAGAGAAAAGGGAGAGAAAAGGGAGAGAAAAGGGAGAGAAAAGGGAGAGAAAAGGGAGAGAAAAGGGAGAGAAAAGGGAGAGAAAAGGGAGAGAAAAGGGAGAGAAAAGGGAGAGAAAAGGGAGAGAAAAGGGAGAGAAAAGGGAGAGAAAAGGGAGAGAAAAGGGAGAGAAAAGGGAGAGAAAAGGGAGAGAAAAGGGAGAGAAAAGGGAGAGAAAAGGGAGAGAAAAGGGAGAGAAAAGGGAGAGAAAAGGGAGAGAAAAGGGAGAGAAAAGGGAGAGAAAAGGGAGAGAAAAGGGAGAGAAAAGGGAGAGAAAAGGGAGAGAAAAGGGAGAGAAAAGGGAGAGAAAAGGGAGAGAAAAGGGAGAGAAAAGGGAGAGAAAAGGGAGAGAAAAGGGAGAGAAAAGGGAGAGAAAAGGGAGAGAAAAGGGAGAGAAAAGGGAGAGAAAAGGGAGAGAAAAGGGAGAGAAAAGGGAGAGAAAAGGGAGAGAAAAGGGAGAGAAAAGGGAGAGAAAAGGGAGAGAAAAGGGAGAGAAAAGGGAGAGAAAAGGGAGAGAAAAGGGAGAGAAAAGGGAGAGAAAAGGGAGAGAAAAGGGAGAGAAAAGGGAGAGAAAAGGGAGAGAAAAGGGAGAGAAAAGGGAGAGAAAAGGGAGAGAAAAGGGAGAGAAAAGGGAGAGAAAAGGGAGAGAAAAGGGAGAGAAAAGGGAGAGAAAAGGGAGAGAAAAGGGAGAGAAAAGGGAGAGAAAAGGGAGAGAAAAGGGAGAGAAAAGGGAGAGAAAAGGGAGAGAAAAGGGAGAGAAAAGGGAGAGAAAAGGGAGAGAAAAGGGAGAGAAAAGGGAGAGAAAAGGGAGAGAAAAGGGAGAGAAAAGGGAGAGAAAAGGGAGAGAAAAGGGAGAGAAAAGGGAGAGAAAAGGGAGAGAAAAGGGAGAGAAAAGGGAGAGAAAAGGGAGAGAAAAGGGAGAGAAAAGGGAGAGAAAAGGGAGAGAAAAGGGAGAGAAAAGGGAGAGAAAAGGGAGAGAAAAGGGAGAGAAAAGGGAGAGAAAAGGGAGAGAAAAGGGAGAGAAAAGGGAGAGAAAAGGGAGAGAAAAGGGAGAGAAAAGGGAGAGAAAAGGGAGAGAAAAGGGAGAGAAAAGGGAGAGAAAAGGGAGAGAAAAGGGAGAGAAAAGGGAGAGAAAAGGGAGAGAAAAGGGAGAGAAAAGGGAGAGAAAAGGGAGAGAAAAGGGAGAGAAAAGGGAGAGAAAAGGGAGAGAAAAGGGAGAGAAAAGGGAGAGAAAAGGGAGAGAAAAGGGAGAGAAAAGGGAGAGAAGGGGGGGGCAAACCCTGTGATGAAGTGCCAACAGGTGGGATGGAGACAGACACCCTTGGAGTACAGATGTGCCCGGTTTGGGGATGCATCTGGTGGCAGAAACACAACGCATGGGGCAGGTTTCCTGCTGTTGCCAGGGGAAAATAATAATATTATTATTAATAATAATAAAAACAAGTGGGTTTTAGGAGGTAAGGGAATGGAAAACCTCTAGAAATTTGCCTCAATAGGTACCCGGGGAAAACAACTAAAGAGAAAAGAAAAAAAGAGGAAAAACGTGAATGCAACCGGGACAAGACTTCGGGAGCAGGAGGAAAACGAAGGAAAATAAGATAAAGTAAAGGAAAATAACGTGTTTTCCCCCAGGAAAAAGAGA